ATACAGCATATCTTCTTTGCTGCTGGCGATGAGCATTGCGTCATCTGTATAGCGCAGGTTGTTTATGTTTCGGCTGCCAACTTTGATACTAACAGACTCTTCTTCCAAATTCACTTTTCTGAAGATGGCTTTACCGTATAGGTTAAACAGGTAAGGCGACAAGATACATCCCTGTCTGATGCCACGTTTTATCGGAAACCAGTCAGTGTTGCCGTATTCAGTTCTCACTGCAGCTTTTTGATATTTGTAGAGGCTCTTAATTAACCTTGTTATGTTATTTAGGTATTCCCATTTTCAACAGAGTCTTCCATAATTTATCATGATCCACACAATCAAGTGCTTTGCTGTAGTCAATGAAGCAAAAGTATGCGGTCTTTTGGTATTCTTTGTTCTTCTCTAATGTCTATCTGACATTGGCAATAATATTTCTTGTTCCTCGGACTTCTCTGAACTCGCCTAAGCTTCAGGTAGTTCTTGCGCAATGCATGATTGTATTTGTCTTTGTATTATTTTTAGTAATACTTTGCTCGCATGTGGAATTAATGCAATTGTTTTGTAGTTGTTACAGTCTTTGGCATCTCCTTTCTTCAATATAGGAATAAAACAGATCTGATGACATAGCTGAGTAAGGGCCATTGTAGCATCTTCAGAGCCTCTGATTAACTCAGTTGGAATACCATCAATACCTGATGACTTATTGTTTGATAAAGCTTTAGTTGCTGCTATGACTTCTGACTTTAGAATATCTGGTTTGTCTTCGCTGTCTGGTTCACTTTCTACAATGTTATCCACACTGCTTTTTTAATATAAATTTTTGGTATATTCTTTCCATCTATTTTAATATTCTCTGGATCATTCAGTATCAGTGTTTTAGAGTCTTTAAGCATCCCCAATCTAGGTTGGAATTTCTGCAGATACAGGTGAAACTCGAAAAATTAGAATATCGTGCAAAAGTTCATTTATTTCAGTAATGCTACTTAAAAGGTGAAACTAATATATGAGATAGACTCATTACAAATCAAGATAGTTCAAGCCGTGATTTGTCATACCGTATTTTTCGCCGTATAAGACGCACTTTTTCTTCCCCAAAACTGGGGGGGAAATGTCAGTGCGTCTTATAAGGCGAATATGGAGTGGCCGGTCCGGTATTTCCACCGCGGCCGTGTCAGAATACCGGGCCGGCCGCTCAGCTCTGCAGCGGGACCTTACCTGTTCCTCTATCCTTCGGCGCACTGTCTTCCGGCTTCTGTAGTGTGGGCACTGGGCATGACAGCCGGGTGCCAAGTGCGCATGCGCAAGAAGCGGTGCCTTTTTGTGAATGGTAAGGCGGTACCTGGGACACATGACAGATCACAAAGCAAAGCAAGTGCTTCTCGCTCATGCGCACTGGGCACCCGGCTGTCATGCCGAGCGCCATTACAGAAGCCGGGAAGACAGCGCGCGGCTGGATCGAGGAACAGGTAAGATGAAACAAAAACTCTGCGGAAGTAAGAGCGGGTACCTGTCAAATTCAGGTACCCGCTCCCCACCTCCCCAAAGGTCAGCAGTCATCTGTACTGTCCGCAGTCTCTGGTCATCCCTGTGCTGTCCGCAGTCTCTGGTCATCCCTGTGCTGTCCGCAGTCTCTGGTCATCCCTGTGCTGTCCGCAGTCTCTGGTCATCCCTGTGCTGTCCACAGTCTCTGGTCATCTCCTGTACTGTGTCTGCAGTCCATTAGTTCAGAATTTTTTTTTCCTGTTTTCTGCCTCTAAAACCTAGGTGCGTCTTATGGTCAGGTGCGTCTTATACGGCGAAAAATACGGTAATTGTGATGATTATGGCTTACAGCTCATGAAAACCCAAAATCCACAATCTCAGAAAATTTGAATTTTGTGAAAAGGTGCAATATTCTAGGCTCAAAGTGTCCCACTCTAATCAGCTAATTAAGCCATAACACCTGCAAAGGGTTCCTGAGCCTTTAAATGGTCTCTCAGTCTGGTTCAGTAGGAATCACAATCATGGGAAAGACTGCTGACCTGAGAGTTGTGCAGAAAACTATCATTCACACCCTCCATAAGGAGGGAAAACCTCAAAAGGTAATTGCAAAAGAAGTTGGATGTTCCCAAAGTTCTGTATCAAAGCACATTAATACAAAGTTATGTGGAAGGGAAAAGCGTGGAAGAAAAAGGTGCACAAGCAGCAGGGATGACCGTAGCCTGGAGAGGATTGTCAGGAAAAGACCATTCAAATGTGTTGGGGACTTTCACAAGGAGTGGACTGAGGCTGGAGTCAGTGCATCAAGAGCCACCACACACAGATGGATCCTGGACATGGGCTTCAAATGTCGTATTCCTCTTGTCAAGCCGCTCCTGAACAGCAAACAACATCAGAAGCGTCTTACCTGGGCTAAAGAAAAACAGACCTGGTCTGTTGCTCAGTGGTCCAAAGTCCTCTTTTCTGATGAGAGCAACTTTTGCATCTCATTTGGAAACCAAGGAGCCATGGAGGAAGAATGGAGAGGCACACACTGCAAGATGCTTGAAGTCCACTGTGACGTTTCCACAGTCTGTGTTGATTTGGGGAGCCATGTCATCTGCTGGTGTTGGTCCACTGTGCTTCATTAAGTCCAGGGTCAACGCAGCCGTCTACCAGGAGATTTTGGAGCACTTCATGCTTTCTTCCGTAGACGAGCTTTATGGGGATGCTGACTTCATTTTCCAGCAAAACTTGGCACCTGCCACACTGCCAAAAGCACCAAAACCTGGTTCAATGACCGTGTGTCAGGGCTCCCGGGTATGACCAGAGGTATGTGAACTGACGCAGGGAAACGCAGGCTTCAGATATGTTATAAACAATATAATTTATTAACACTAACAATACATAAACGCAGTGCAATACTAAAACATAACACAGTGCAAACGAACCAAACCGAACCACCCACAGATAACAAAACATACAGTGCAAGCGTAGTCAGGCCGGCCGGGTCAATAACAATCGGGCAGGTAGGAACAGAAGGATCAGGCAGAGAGTAGTCAGGTCACGAGCCGGGTACAGCAACTAACGGGCAGGTAGGTACAGGGGGTCAGGCAGAGAATGGTCGGGGGTCACAAGCCAGGGATCAAACAGGAGAAGTCAGCAGAGGTCCGGATCAGGCAGGGTCAGCAACGAATCAGTCAGACAGGAACAGGAACAGGAACAGGGGCCCATAGAAAAGCACACATCAAGGCCCAGACTGCAGGTTGGCCATCCCTTAAATACACCTGCATAATCAGCTTCAGGTGTTTGGTTGGCTGCAGGGTTGAGTCTCTGATTGCTGAGAGCACCCGCTGGCCAGCCCTGGTACTGCAGCCCACAAGGCAGGTGAGTCTCACCATTACTGGCAAGTCCATTCCTGACAGTACCCCCCCCCCCTCAAGGAGCGGCCTCAGGACGCTCCAAACAGTCCTAGCTGGGCAAAATGTTCCACCGCCCGGGTCTGGTAACTGGCGGGATATCACAGACTGGTACATCGGGCAGGACTCCGGGCAGCGGCACATCGGGCAGGACTCCGGGCAGCGGCACATCGGGCTGGACTCCGGGCAGCGGGCACATCGGGCAGGACTCCGGGCAGCGGCACATCGGGCTGGACTCCGGGCAGCGGCACATCGGGCTGGACTCCGGGCAGAGGCACATCGGCGGACTCCGGGCAGAGCACATCGCAGGACTCCGGCAGGGCCATCGGGCAGGCGGGCAGCGGCACATCGGGCAGGCACCGGGCAGCGGCACACGGCAGGCTCCGGGCAGCGGCAGGGCAGGACTCCGGGCAGCGGACACATCGGGCCCCGGATCACCAGGCGGAGCAGCAGCAGGCGGCGGGCCACCAGGCGGAGCCACCACCGGGCCACCAGGCGAGCAGCGGGCGCCGGGCCCCGGAGCAGCAGGCGGAGCGGCGGAGCAGCGGCCAACGAGCAGCGGGCGCCGGGCTCCCAGGTGGAGCAGCAGGCACCGGGCCCCAGCAGGCACCGGCGGCAGGGCGCCGGACCCCCAGGTGGAGCGGCGGGCACCGGGCCCCCAGGAGGGGCGACAGGCATCGGGCCCCCAGGCGGGGCGACAGGCATCGGGCCCCCAGGCAGGGCGAAGGGCGCTGGGCCCCCAGGCGGAGAGCGGCGGGCGCCGAGCCCTCAGGCTGGACGGCAGACACCGGGCCCCAGGGCAGAGCGGCGGGCACCGGGTCATCAGGCACGACAACGGGCATCGGGTCACCAGGCATCAGGTCATTTGGCTCGCCAGTGGGCACCACGTCATCTGGCAAGGCAGTGGGCACCGAGTCACCAGGCACGACAGTGGGCTCCGAGTCAACTGGCATGACCGCGGGCACTGGGTCAGACATTGGATCGTCTGGCTGGACAGCGGGCATCAGGTCACCAGGCATCAGGTCATTTGGCTCGACAGTGGGCACCGCGTCATTTGGCAAGGCAGTGGGCACCGAGTCACCAGGCACGACAATGGGCTCTGAGTCAATTGGCACGACAGCGGGCACCGGGTCATCAGGTACCGGATCGTCTGGCTCGACAGCAGGCACCGGGTCATCTGGCGCTGGATCGTCTGGCTCGACAGTGGGCATCGGGTCACCAGGTATGACAGTGGGCTCCGAGTCACCAGGCATGACCGCGGGCACTGGGTCAGACATTGGATCCTCTGGCTCGACAGCGGGCATCGGGTCACCAGGCATCAGGTCATTCGGCTCGACAGCGGGCACCGCGTCATCTGGCAAGGCAGTGGGGCACCAAGTCACCAGGCACAACAGTGGGCTCTGAGTCAATTGGCACGACAGCGGGCACCGGGTCATCTGGCGCTGGATCGTCTGGCTCGACAGCGGGCATCGGGTCACCAGGCATGACAGCAGGCACTGGGTCATCAGGTACCGGATCGTCTGGATCGACAGCGGGCACCGGGTCATCTGGCGCTGGATCGTCTGGCTCGACAGCGGGCATCGGGTCACCAGGCATGACAGCGGGCACTGGGTCATCATGAATTGGATCGTCTGGCTCGACAGCGGGGCATCGGGTCACCAGGTATGACCGCGGGCACTGGGTCATCAGGCATTGGATCGTCCGGCTCGACAGCGGGCATCGGGTCACCAGGCATGACAGTGGGCACCGGGTCATCAAGTACCGGATCGTCTGGCTCGACAGCGGGCACTGGGTCATCAGGCGTGATAGGATCATCAGGCTGGATCAGTTCATCAGGCTGGGTACAGACATCAGGCTGGGTACAGACATCAGGCTGAAGTGCGGGTGCTGAGGCACCAGGCTGAACCACGGAAGGCAGGTTCTCAGACGGCAGGCTCACCGGTTTGGATACTGGCAGGATGGTACTGGTTGGAAAGAATTTCCGCTTTTTTCTGGTTTTAACTACTGGGGCACTGCAAGTAAACGCAGGTCTGCAAACGAATGGAGCAGCTGAGGACACAGAGAAGAGCTGGAAGATGGAACAGAGGAGGGAGCAGTTGCTACAGAGGACTTCTTTACAGGGTTAAAGAAAGGATAGGTCAGCGAGTGGGAGCAGAGGACTGGTATGTGGTAGTTTGAGTATACTGGGCAGTCACTGGGGGTGCTGTCGGGGATGCATGAAGAGTGCCTTGAGTGGAGGACTGATGTTGTAAGCTGACTGAGGCTGGGTGCAACAAGTCTGACCATATCTGCAGTATGGGTTGAACAAAGCTCAGTTTACACAAAGCCTGTCTGGTCAATGACTGCACTGAGTTTATACAATCTCTTAGTACCTGTGGTGAACATGCAGAATAACGCTCCAGAAAGTAATCCACATCATCCTCTAATAACCATACCAGGGACTCTACCTGGTCGGCACTAAATGGCGGCAAAAATTCATCCCTGCATTCGGGGGTACCAGATGAAACCAACTCAGCACAAACCTGAATCAATGGCTGCACCTCAGAGAATTCTGTGCCCTGATCTACTAGAACATGAGCGATCCGTATACACTCTAGTAGTTGATCCCGGGTATACTCCCTCAGAGTCTGATAAGCATATTCTCTGTCATCAAACACTAGCAGAGATAAATACACAACCTCATCAAGATCCATCCTTCCCAGCAACAAGCCAAGATGGCTTCACTATGCAGCCACTTCTGGTCAGGATGGGCCTTGGTGTAATGTCAGGGCTCCCGGGTATGACCAGAGGTATGTGAACTGACGCAGGGAAACGCAGGCTTCAGATATGTTATAAACAATATAATTTATTAACACTAACAATACATAAATGCAGTGCAATACTAAAACATAACACAGTGCAAACGAACCAAACCGAACCACCCACAGATAACAAAACATACAGTGCAAGCGTAGTCAGGCCGGCCGGGTCAATAACAATCGGGCAGGTAGGAACAGAAGGATCAGGCAGAGAGTAGTCAGGTCACGAGCCGGGTACAGCAACTAACGGGCAGGTAGGTACAGGGGGTCAGGCAGAGAATGGTCGGGGTCACAAGCCAGGGATCAAACAGGAGAAGTCAGCAGAGGTCCGGATCAGGCAGGGTCAGCAACGAATCAGTCAGACAGGAACAGGAACAGGAACAGGAACAGGGGCCCATAGGAAAGCACACATCAAGGCCCAGACTGCAGGTCTGGCCATCCCTTAAATACACCTGCATAATCAGCTTCAGGTGTTTGGCTGGCTGCAGGGTTGAGTCTCTGATTGCTGAGAGCACCCGCTGGCCAGCCCTGGTACTGCAGCCCACAAGGCAGGTGAGTCCCACCATTACTGGCAAGTCCATTCCTGACACCGTGGGATTACTGTGCTTGATTGGCCAGCAATCTCGCCTGACCTGAACCCCATAGACAATCTATGGGGCATTGCCAAGAGACAGATGAGAGACATGAGACCGAACAATGCAGAAGAGCTGAAGGCCGCTATTGAAGCATCCCGGTCTTCCATAACACCTCAGCAGTGCCACAGGCTGATAGCTTCCATGCCACGCCGCATTGAGGCAGTAATTGCTGCAAATGGGGCCCAAACCAAGTACTGAGTACATATGCATGCTTATACTTTTCAGAGGTCCGATATTGTTCTATGTACAATCCTTGTTTTATTGATTGCATGTAATATTCTAATTTTCTGAGATTGTGGATTTGATTTTCATGAGCTGTAAGCCATAATCATCACAATTATGACAAATCACGGCTTGAACTATCTTGCTTTGCATGTAATGAGTCTATCTCATATACTAGTTTCACCTTTTAAGTTGCATTACTGAAATATATGAACTTTTGCACGATATTCTAATTTTTCGAGTTTCACCTGTATCTCCTAATGTCCTTAAAGGCTAGTCTGATTTTTGTTTTTATGTGCTCAGTCTCAATTTTCTGACAAATATCCTTGAGATATCTTTCTTTATCTTTCCGAACTTGGCAATGAAACATTCGAATAATTTGAGATACTTTTACTCCATCATCAGAAATTTTGGCTTGCCTTCTTTGTTCTGCTACTTTTCTACTTTCATCTGAAATCCAAGGCGAATCCTTGTTTTTTTTTCTTAATCTGCAATGTTTTTTTTTCAGTTCCTTTACTAATTGTGGTTTTGATGTCACTCCATAACTCCCAGGCTATCTCCTGTATCCAGAATTGCAAATCTGTTATTTAGTTTAAATCCAGTCTTTTGGAATATTTTAATCATATCTAGAAAGGCCTCTAATGACCCTTTACTTGCAAAGCTTAATCTTGATCTTGCATGATAAAAGGTTTTGGTCGCTGCCACAATCAGCTCTTGGTTTAGTCCTTGCTGTCAAAACTGCAGACTTCCACCTGCCCAATGCAGATGTAGTTAATCTGATTACAATGCATGCCATTTGGAGAGGCTCATGTGTATAGCCAATGCTTGTGGTGCTGGAATATGTATTCATGATGGAAAGTTGATTAGTTTCGCAAAACTATACAAAGTTATCACCGGCTTCATTTCTTTCTCCTAAGCCATACTTTCCAAACACTGCATCTTCTTACATACTACTTTTGCAATCCAGTTCCCCATGATGATTAGTAGATCTTGATTCACTGCTTGATCTATTGCACTTTGACATTCTTCATAAAACAACTCTAGCCGCCTCATCTGTTGTTGCAGCATACACTTGGATCAAGGTACCATTGATCAGCCCTCCTTGTAGACAGATTGAGATGACTCTGTCACTGATAGTATTGTATTATTATTATTATACAGTATTTATATAGTGCCAACAGTTCGCTCAGCTCTGTATTTTAGTACCATCTTTGAGAGCTTATTGTTAAGGATATAAGCCATATAATTTTTCCTATAAGTTTCATTACCAGAGTAGCATATTCAATGTTCATTTGATTTAAAGTGTCCCTGTTCTGTCCATTTGAGTTCACTGACTCCTAATAAATCGATGTTGGCTTTATCCATTTGCTCTTCAATAACTTCTAATTTTCCTTGTTCCATACTTCATACTTGGTTCATTCATCTATACCAGACCATTATCCAAGATAATAGAGGACCCCCACACAAAAAAAAGCAGCATAGCCCCTCCCCCCCATAAAATCCATACCAGACCCAAAGGGTAACACTTATGAAATGAACTGGGGGGAATCTCATACAAAAACCTAGAATAAAGATGGTAAGGTTTCACCCCCCCCCCCCCCCCCCAAAAGAAAAAGCCATAAAGTTGTATCTGAGCACACAGCCTGGCAGTCCACAAAAATAGGAAGGGAAGATAGCATGCGACTCTACTCCTGGCCACATGCACTCAACATTGAGGGTACTTTGCCAGGGGATATCCACGTGGCAAATCACATCATCCTTATGCACAGTGGTTGTGGGGGTCAGCGGTATCTGGAAGTCCCATTAACATCAAAAGAACACACAGATACAGTACCCCTCCCATACAAATGAATAAGTGGTACATAGTATGCCAACTCATTAACTAAAAAAATGTAAATTGTAAGTAAACACACAAAGTTTTTGACAATAGTTGAGTAAAAAAAACAAAAATGTCCCATGATAAACATACATCATCAGTCACATTGTCTAGCGATGCAGGCTCACCTCAATCACGATGTCCGCTGACCTGCCGAAAAAAAAAAGGCAACACAATCTGTTCCCATCACTTCCCTTTACCAAATGAAAACTCCCGTTACACTGCTAAAATGTATACCAATGGGCGGAATCTCCCAGGTGAAATCATTGACCATATATGGGCATGACCATGTTTTGTTAATGACATCATGGGGATCCAGGCAACACAATCTGTTCCCATCTCTTCTCTTGACCAATTGAAAGCTATGGTCCAACTGCTAAAATGTATGCAAATTAGCTCAATCTCCCAGGTGGCATCATTGACCATATATGGGCCTGACCATGTTTGGTTATTGACATCATGGGGATCCAAGTATGGAGCGCATTTGACTTTCACCTCCTCTTTCCATGTGACAGCACGGATGTTTGGTGATTGGCTATTTGAGCACCCAAAACTGTCATATGGGGGCAAGGAGAGAGCCCTCAATTTCTATGTAAGTTTAAAGTCATATCATACACATTACATCCTTCCTTCACTTTCAGTTGGTGAATGAAGCCATGGGGAAGCAAAAGGACTGTAAGTATGTAAAAACTTGGGGGAGGAGGAATTGGGCTTACTTTAAGGCCCCTGTCATAACTGCCTAGTGCATTATTGCATGCATACTCACATGTGCTGTGTTGTACATTACTGTGTACTGCATTAGGGCAGCCTATTCATTTTGAATGGGCTACCAATGTACCACAAAATGATTCAGAAAAAATGAGGAAGGGTTGTAACAGCGCAAACACTGCAAAGTCCTGGGAAATGGTAGTATGGGTGATGGTGGTATTAGTGGCTACTGTATGAAGAGCGTAGGATTCCGTGTGGCACTGAGGGCAAGGCTTCCAAATAAGCTGTAGCAACTTCTGTAGATGAGAAAAAGGAGAGAAGCGCCTCTAAGTGCAATAAGTCTTTTAATTCAAGTCTAAATGTAGAAACACTCACATGTGTGAAGTAATCATAAGCATAAAAACCGTGGTTAACAATAGTTAACGGTGGGGTGGTAACCCGGGTGAAGAGCCATCATCTCTCTGCGATGTGGGGAGGTCAGCTCTCGGCTGGAACAGCGTGGTGGCTGGAGGGGGAACAGCGGTGAGGCCGGCCTGCATGCACGTCCTCCCTCAGAGCCGGATGGAACGCACGCTAGAACGTAGCGGCGGCGTGGCCGTGATGACGTCAGATCCCAGGGTGCACTGCGACGCGTTTCGGAGCATGCACTGGCCGTGGAAGGCGGAAGTGCACTCCTTTTTCAAGCTTGAAAAAGAGTGCACTTCCGCCTTCCACGGCCAGTGCATGCTCCGAAACGCGTCGCAGTGCACCCTGGGATCTGACGTCATCACGGCCACGCCGCCGCTACGTTCCAGCGTGCGTTCCATCCGGCTCTGAGGGAGGACGTGCATGCAGGCCGGCCTCACCGCTGTTCCCCCTCCAGCCAC